GGGGGGGGGGGGGGTGTTGTCCTCCATGCAGTAGGTGAGTCAAACAGGCTAGTCGCGTATGCAATGGAGAAGTTCGGATATGCAGTACAGGTACAGGGCAAGAAAAAATCAATGCATGTCGTCGACAGTTGTGTAGTTTGTATCGCCGTGATGTTCCGTCGCGATGTATACCGTAGGTTTGCATGAGATACCACACCCCCTTGGGCCGATTTTCAAAGATTGATTGCTCGGCAGGAACAGCAGCGACGGTGCCCAAAATGGCGGAGTTGGAACCGTCCCGTCGAGAGCTTTGCGAACACGTATAGTTTGCCTTCGGTATCCTCTTGGTCGTGGAGTAATCGAGCTTTGAAAATCGGTTGAGGGAGTATGGTGTCTTACGCAACCTACGGTAGGAGCAGCAGCGCGTGCGGTGGTAGTAGGAAGAAGATACTTACTTCTTGAGGCGAGGTTATTCTCCCTCCGCCCGATCGCCTCTCGACATCTGCTACCGTTCCGGTCATTGTGCTCTCTGTGTTTCTCGGCTCTCTCTCTCTCTCTCTCTCTCTCTTTCTCTCCTCCTCCTCCTACCTGCTGCCTGCTGCCGCATCAGATCGTACGACACCAACGAGGAGCTGGTCGCCGCGGCGGGCGGCGGCATGGCGCTGTACGGCGTGAACTTCTTCCCCAACGAGAACGACGTCACCCTCAAGCCCTACGCGCCCATCCTCAAGAAGCCTACCTTCGTCGAGATGTGAGACACCATGAGGGAAGCGTCTGTGTGTGTCGGGGGGGGGGGCGTTGACTCATGTTTTGTATCCCTTGGCGGTTAGACCATTGACCACGCGTCCTTGAGAAGACGGAGCATTGTTCCCACAGAACCCGATCACCGATGGCCACTCGTTCCTTCCTAATTTGCCAAAAGGTGGCCCAAGATTAAAGGGGCAGGGTTCTTTGAATGCCGCCGAAGCAAAACAAAACAGCGCACTACGTGTCGCGTGGCATGACGATTTTCGAGTTGAGTGCGTGGCCTCTTGCTGGTTCAGAAGAGCACCGGAGCATTGTTGTTCAAAGTGGTACTATTGAAGCCCCCCCTCCACCCTAAACAAACGAAAAACTCCCTTGGATCCGCCGGTCAGCAGTGACCCACTCACTTCACGCGCTCCTCTTCCTCCTCACAGCACAAAACTTCTTTGATCCGCCTGTCAGCAGTGACCGTCTCACTGCACCTGCTCCCCCTCCTCCCCTTCCTCAAGAATCGAAGAACTCATCTGGTCAGCCTGTCAACAGCGTCCCTCTCACTCCCCCCTCCCACCCCCC